GCACGCGGGCGGCCGGGGTTCGATTCCTCAGCACACTCAGGAAAGCCTGCAGTGGCGCTGTGGCTCAGTGGTGGAGCGCCGGCCTCGAGTGGAAGTTGTTCCAGGACAGCGCCCGGCCCGAGTTCAAGCCCCAGGCCGGCAAAAAAAAGCCTTTCAAACCCGGCCCTGGTGGTCACACCTCTTGGTTGTTGCCCTGGGGCCTGAGCTCGGCCTGGGTGCTGTCCCTCAGCGCTTCAGCTCAAGGCCAGCGCTCCACCACTGAGCCACAGCGCCACTGCCGGCTTCTGATGCTTCATTGGAGAGAAGAGTTTCATGGACTTTCCTGCCTGGGCTGGCTTTGAACTGTGATCCTCAGATCTCAGCCTCCTGAGCAGCTAGGATTTCAGGCATGAGCCACTGGTGCCCGGCTGGAGAGAAGAGTTTCATGGACTTTCCTGCCTGGGCTGGCTTTGAACTGTGATCCTCAGATCTCAGCCTCCTGAGCAGCTAGGATTTCAGGCATGAGCCACTGGTGCCCGGCTGGAGAGAAGAGTTTCATGGACTTTCCTGCCTGGGCTGGCTTTGAACTGTGATCCTCAGATCTCCACTTCCTGGGTAGCTAAGATGACAGGTGTGAGCCAAGGAGGCTGAGACCTGAGGGTCACCATTCAAAGCCAGCCTGAATAGAAAAATCCCACACCAGAGACTCTTATCTCCAATTAACCACTCAAAAACTGTAACTGTACTGGTAAAATAAAAAACCAGAGCCAGCAACAGTGGCTCACGCCTGTAATTCCAGCTACTCAGGAGGCTGAGATCTGTGGATCATGGTTCAAAGCCAGGCCAGGAAACTTACCTCGAATTAACCAGATATATATGAAACAAGGAAGAACCCTAATTAAGGTGAAACTGAGAAAAGTGTCCTGCCATGGGGAGGAGCTGGAGTCTGAGAAGGACGCACAGTCTCCATTCTACCTGGGGTTTGTACAATGTGACTATGACGAGCAATAATTGACCAGGGCCAGGCCCAGGTCAGACCCTGGAAGGACTGGAGGGCCTCACTGGTGAGCTAGAGCTGGCACTGTGGTCAGAGAGGGTTGGCTGTAAGGGGTGTCCCAGAGCATCTGGGCCCAAAGGCCACTTTTCTGTCCTTGAGTAGGGCTGGGCTCCCCTCTGCCTTCCTGTGGCATAACCTGGAGTTGGGGCTGGGGCACAGGAGAGGCAGGCTGCCTTCCTTCCCGCACAGGAGGACCTCAGCGGGAGGACGGATGGCCCCAGGCTTTCCTTCCCTTTATGGCAGGTGAGACACCAAGGGCCGTCAAGGACTGTTGGAGTGCTGCTTTGACTAAAAAAGGAAGCAGCGCAGCAGAGGCTGAGACACTTCAGAAGCCGGGGAAGGAACAGGCGAGAACAGCCCGCCTGCTGCCGCTCCCCACCCCCTTGCCAGGAATCTTGGCAGTGGGTGCTGGACAGGCTCCGCAGACCTCAGGCCTCTGCACGGACTAGAACTGCTTCTGCTTGTGCCTGGGCCCGGTAGGGGACAGTGCGTGTGGACACCCTATGTTGACAGCAGCCCCCCACAGCGGGGAGGCCTCTCTGCCCCCTAGCATGCAAAGGCTGCTAGGGCATCCGGACTGGAGAGCATGCACAAGGCAGCGCCCTCTGGGGTGCTGCCGAAGGCACACCACGTAGACTGCCTGTCCTGGTTGAACGCAGGGCCAGGGAGCTGGGCCTCGGCGGATCCGCCCTTAGGGGTGGCTGTTCACAGCCCTTGGGCCCAGTCACACCTCAGCCTGCCCTGCTGTGCTGAAGGGAAGTTTCACTCCCTTCTGGAAAAAGTGAGTGGGGCTTCTTGGCACGCCTCAGCCTTCTTCCCTCCAGCCTCACCATTGGAGGAAGAGGGCACTGGAGACCCGACCTCCACCCAGCCCTGGCAGAGTTCAGACACCTGCCCATCTTGAGCTCTGCCCAGTCACTCCAGCTCTTGACTTCCTGGGGTGCTCTCCCCTCATCCGCCCTGCTCCAGACCTCTGCTTGTAGCCCTCAGACCAGCTTGTCCTCCTGCTCTGCACGGCTTCCCACACCTCCAGAGCACGGACGTGGGCAGAGAGAAGGTCCCCGGGGACGTGGAGACCAGCCAGGGGCGTCGTGGTCAGGGCCAGGCAGGACTTGATGCAGACACCGGAGGAAGCACACACAGAATGGTCCGGAAGCCTCCTCTCAGACATAGGGAATGGGGGTAGAGATGTAGGCATAAGGAGAGACAGGCCAGACAGTGAGATGTTGGCCACAGTTCTCTGCCCCCTGGGCATGGCCTGGTCTGGTCTTGGCACCCTGAGGCTCCAGAGGAAGGTACATCTGAAGCTGCACTGCAGCCTTGCCTCGCCCTGGAAGGCTCTGAGCTGGCCTGCCTCACCTGTCTGGCTGCAGGCAGATGAGGGGTTTCTTCCAGCTCTTGGCAGGGCACCCCGCCCCCACTCAGAGCCACAGAGAATGCTCCCTCCTCCACAGTCAGGCTTTTGCAGAGAAAAGGGGCCTTTTGTCCCCAGATTACTATGGTCCACCCCAGGGAAAAGGGCAGCTTCACATGCCTCTGGCCCAGCCCCTGACCTCAGCCAAGGGCAGAGCACCCTGCCCTCTCCACCCCCACAAGCTGCAGGGTGCCGCCTGTTTGTATGAGCCCACCCATTGCCCAGAACACAGACACAGGAAGTGGTAGGGGAGCAGCAAGGGGCCTGGGACAGGACCTGGTCTGTGACGCACCAGCGCTAGACACACACACACACACACGGACGTGGGACAGGACCTGGTCTGTGACGCACCCACGCCAGGCACACACATGGACCTGGGACAGGACCTGGTCTGTGACGCACCCACGCCAGGTACACACACACAGAACTGGGGCAGGACCTGGTCTGTGACGCACCCACGCCAGGCACACATGGACATGGGGCAGGACCTGGTCTGTGACGCACCCACGCCAGGCACACACACAGAACTGGGGCAGGACCTGGTCTGTGACGCACCCATGCCAGGCACACATGGACCTGGGACAGGACCTGGTCTGTGACGCACCCACGCCAGACACACACACACACGGACCTGGGGCAGGACCTGGTCTGTGACGCACCAGCGCCAGACACACACACGGACGTGGGGCAGGACCTGGTCTGTGACGCACCCGCGCCAGGCACACACATGGACATGGGGCACGACCTGGTCTGTGACGCACCCATGCCAGGCACACACATGGTAGCCAGAACAGCTCAAGAAGGCTGTGAGTCCTTAGGGCCTTCCTGCTGCTCCCAATTCATTCCTGTAGACTTGACCTCTAATCTTGGTCCTTGACCTCTAGGCCCAAGGGCTGGGCTGGTTCTGGGATCAGGGACTCTGTCTCCCTCCAGGGAGTGAGCAGGCAGCTAGTCTCCCTGAAGCCAGGATGGCGAAGGTACATGTGGTGCAGTGGGCAGCCTCCACCGTGTGGCTCCTGCCTGTCCTTCCAGCTTGTCCTGGGAACGCAAGGGCACCAGGAGCCTAGTCTTCCCTGCAGTGCCAGGCAACCGAGGACCATGCCAGCAGACATGCAGGGCAGATTGCTTTTCCTGTGGAGGTGTAAGCTGTGTGGGACCCGGACGTGGGGGGGGACAAGGCAGGAGCTACAGGAGGGAAGAGCCTGACAGGTAAAGGCTAGAGCAGGAATCAAAACCAGAGGAAGAGGTAAGTGTGCATGCCAGTTACGGGATCGCAGATGGGGCCCAGAGAGGGCTGACCTGGCTGTGTCCCGTTCAGATCCAGGGAGGCCCGTGGGATTCTGACTGCTGAGGAAGACGGTACAAAGGCAAAGGAGAGGAGGGCGCACTAACCCCAGGCCTGGGGGGGTCCCCAGGGGAGCAGCCATCAAAGGAAGGCTGGGTGCTCTGGAGCTGCAACTCGCCAGCACCTGGCAGCCAGCCGGCCAGCAGTGCTCCATCCTGGCCTGAGACCCCAGCTCCTTCAGCAGGAACACCCTGCTCCAGCCCAAAGTAGGGTCCAGGCAGCAGCCCTGGACAGGCCGGGAACACATGAGGAAGGAGTGGCCGGAGCCAGGGCAGGCCCGGGGGCAGGAGCAGCTCTAGGTCAGGTGTGGTTAGGGCCTTGTTCCCACCTGCCCCTGTCAGTCCAGCCCAGAGGCACAGCAGGGTCAGGACCACGGGCTGAGGCACAGCTTAGGTGGCAACCATCTACCTAGCAAATGTGAGGTGCTGAGTTCAACCCCAGTGTGGCCAAGCAAAACAGCCAAGGGGCAGAGCTCAGGCTGGATGGACAGCGTGGTCCTCACTGCAGGCCCGCCCTGGCTGGGCTGTCTGAAGTGGTACCAGAAAAGAAGGCGGGGCCTGATGAGCCCCGCCTCTTCACTTGTGTGGGGGTCAAGGGAGGGGAGCAAGCAGCTATGTCAGGGCCTCTGTAGACAGCAGGCTGGCAAGGGTGGAGCCTGGAGGAGAGCTTCCTCATGGCTGGAAGGCCAGCCCCTCCTCTTTGCAGGAACTGCCCCAAGACCTAGGGTACATAAAGACCTGTCACCTAGGACCCCTCCCCTGAAAGAGGGTCTGCTGGTGCTGGCTTCCTGGTGGACGAGCTCTGGCCTCCAGTGCACAGGCTCTGACCCAGCCCTGCTCTCCAGAGCTGGACACAGACCTTTTCCGTGGACCTCTGCAGCCATTTGTTTTTTTTTTTGGTCGGTCGTGGTGCTTGAACTCTGGGCCTGGGCGCTGTCCCTCAGCTCTTCAGCTCAAGGCGAGCGCTCTACCACTTGAGCTACAGTGCCACTTCCGGTTTTCTGGTGGTTCATTGGAGATTAGAGCCTCACAGACTTTCCTGCCCTGGCTGGCTTTGAACCATAATCCTCAGATCTCAGCCTCCTGAGTAGCTAGGATGACAGGTGTGAGCCACCAGCGCCTGGCAGCCATTTGTTTTTGTGTGGTACTGCACTGGGGGGTCAAACCCTGGTCTGTTGAGCCAGTGGCTCATGCCTGTAATCCTAGCTACTCAGGAGGCTGAGATCTGAGGTTCACGGTTCAAAGCCAGCCCGGGCAGGAAAGTCTGTGAGGCTCTAATCTCCAATAAACCACTCAAAAACCAGAAGTGGTGCTGTGGTTCAAAGTGGTCAAGCCCCACGACTGATCAAACAACAACAACAACAAAAAACCCTGCCTCACACACCCCAGGCAAGCACTCCACCCCTGAGCTTCACCTCCCATTTGATGCTCCTCTCAAAGCCGTGGACAAATGGGTTGAGGCCAGTCATCTGAGCTTTCCCCCTTAAACAGCCTGTCTCAGGGTAGCCCCAGAAGCTGGGGACACCTTTCAGAAACAAGCTAGGCAGTTGCCCAGCACAGAGCTGCCGTCCAGCCGCCGTCCCCTCCCCTCCCCTCCCCCACCAGGCCCAGCTGTTGTTTTGACGACTGTGGGGCCAGGCAGGTCCTCAGCCAAGGTCTTCCCAGGAGACTCTTCTTCCTCAGCCCCTGGTGGCGGCTGGCCAGCCCGGGTGGAGGGGAAGGAAGGCGACCTCAGCCCGGCAGTTGCTCTCCTAGGCAGCCGGGACACCGGCCAGCTCTGTCTGATCAGGAAAAGCATCAAAGCCTGACACCAATGAAGGCCGGAAAGCCCCAAGAAACCCCTGGACCTGACCCAACCACACACGGGGCTCTCCTTCAGGTCACCAGACGAGCCCAGTGCAAGCCTGCCCCTGCAGGTCACGGGCTGAGCCCTGCTGGCAGTATGGTGAGCTGCATCCTTTCAAAGCCTCTTCAAGCTGGGCACCGTGGCTCACACTTTTAATGCTAGCTACTCAGGAGGCTGAGACCTGAGGATCGTGGTTCAAAGCCAGCCTGGGTAGAAAAGTCCCCAATGAGAGACTTTTTTTTGTTGGTCCTGCGGCTTGAACTCAGGGCCTGGGCACTGTCCCTAAGATTCTTTTTTTTTTTTTTTTGGGTCCGGTTGTGGGGCCTGAACTGAACTCTGGGCCTGGGTGCTGTCCCTCAGCTCTTCAGCTCAAGGCTAGCGCTCTACCACTTGAGCCACAGCGCCACTTCCGACTTTTTTCTTTTTGTTTATATGGTGCTGAGGAATCAAACCCAGGTCCTCAGGCTTGCAAGGCAAGCGCTCTACCACTGAGCCACCTTCCCAGCCCTCCCTAAGCTTCTTTTGCTCAAGGCTAGCGCTCTACCACTTGAGTCACAGGGCTACTTCCAGCTTTTTCTGTGTATGTGGTACTGTGGAATTGAACCCAGGGCTTCATGCATGCTAGGCAAGCACTCTACCACTGAGCCACATTCCCAACCCCAATGAGAGACTTTTATCTCCAATTAACCACTCAAAACCTGCAAGTAGAACTGTGGCTCAAAGTAATAGAGCGCTAGCCTTGAGCAAAAGAAGCTTAGAGATACCGTCTAGGCCCTGAGTTGCAGCTCTACAAACACCACCATCATCAACACACACAAAAAATGCTTTTCATTTCCACTGGACCCTGAGTAAATTACAGTGAACACAACAGGGTTTGAACTCAGGGCCTCAGGCTTGCTTGGCTTACACTCTACCGCTTGAGCTACATCTTTTTGTTATTTTGAAGATGGACCCTCTTGGACTTTTCTGTTTGGGACTGCCCTTGAACCTCAATCCTCCACATCTCAGCCTCCTGAATGACTAGGAGTATAGGTGTGAGCCACCAGTACTCATAAAGAATGGAACCCAGGGCTTCATGCACACTAGGCGAGCACTTTACCATTGAGCCCCTTTCCCAGCCCTGAACACACATTTTTAATTCCTTGCTGGGTTTACAAGAAAGTAAATTTCCACCACCTCTGCAGCCATTAAATGTTACAAAACCCAAGCAAATAGCTAAGGTAGTGGGCAACCACCCCGGGTCATGGAGGGAGCACGTGGAAGAGCAAGGATTTCCAGACACCAGTGCAGAGCGGCACAAGGTCAGGGAAGAAGCTGGGTTCTCTGAAGAGAGCCAGCGACTCAGGGCCCCTGGGGAGACTGCAGGGGGCTCGGCAGGGCAGTGCTGCTTCATCTGGGAAGGGTCCCCACAGTAGGAACTTACACCTGTCACAGACAGGAGTTAAAAATGATAATTTATCAGGTGCTGGGCTGGGGAGGGGTACTTGCTTAGCATGCTGAAGACTTGGGTTCAAATTCCTGCAACAGAACAAAGAAGAGACCAAAACACTCAAAGAAACTCCACATTATTAGTGACAACCAGCAGAAATCACAAAGAACAGATTTGGATTTCCAGACTAAAAAACTGAAATCAGGTATAGCATATAAAATAACTGTGTGTGTGTGTGTGTAGATATAAATACAGCCAGGGGCTGGGAAGGTGGCTTAGTGGTAGAGTGCTTGCCTTGCATGCATGAGGCCCTGGGTTCGACTCCTCAGCACCACATAAGCAGAAAAAGCCAGAAGTGGGGCTGTGGCTCAAGTGGTAGAGCGCTAGCCTTGAGCTGAAGAGCTGAGGGACAGCGCCCAGGCCCAGAGCTCAGGCCCCATGACTGGACCCAAAAAAAGAGAGAGGGGGGGGAGAGGAGAGAGAGAGGAGCCAGTGCCGAGGGCAGCTCGCCCCTGTCATCCTAGCTACTCAGCAGGCTGAGACCTGAGGGTCTCGGTCAGGAAACTCCACGAGACTCCTATCTCCAGGAAGCCATACTAAATAGTATAAGTTAGTATAGTATAGTATGAGCAGCCAGAAGTGGCTCCCTGGTTCAAGTGGTGGAGAACTCGCCTTGAGCAAAAGAAGCTCGGGGAAGGCGCCCAGGGCCACAGAGTTCAAGCCCCAGGAACAGAAAAAAAAAAAAA